GTTTTCAGTTCCACTCCCTCTTCATCGGCAAACACGGTAAGAGGAATGGGGAAGAAAAGAAGCGGTATGAACCGAGTCAAGGTAGAGGCACGCAGACATTTCCAGAGAGAACTCATTTTGTCAAACGTGCAGATGCCGCACAATAAATAAAATTAAAAGACAAAAATAAATTCCACGACGCACACAACTTTTATAACAAGAATTATTCAAAGCAAATACAAAGAAACATATGTTTTACTAAGTCTAACTTCGTTGTCTATTCTTTCTATGTGATGACGTCCTACAGCATGTGTACAGGTACCGCAGCCACGACCAGTGTGATCAAGACAACAACATACAGGTAAGTATGCAAGGACATCACAGAACAACCAATCAGGTGAGTAAAACCAACACTCCAACAAAATCAATTGTTATCTTCCTCTCTTATGGCTGTACTATCTGCAGCAACCAAACACATTACACACTCAACACCTCACTCAGCCACGCAGGCCACGTGTCACCCCTGGAATGCCAACACAGCAGCTCAATGGAGTCTGCCACGTTAGCACATAAAAAACCCGGAGGGTGTACAAGGGGAATGCCACGTCAGCAATGCGTGCTTGAACTGGCATGCCACGTCAGCATGTACTCACGACACAGGTAAGTGCCACGTCAGACCATGCCTTGCCAAAATAACACGTCAGCATTCCGTATTATGCCACATCAGCGGTATAATTCACACACTTTATCTATCTGGACTGGCGCCGTGTCAGCCTGTTGCCAATGAAGCTCTCGCCGGTGTCGTCAATGCAGCTACGTCATCAGTCTTCAAGGGACGGCTGCTCACAACTGCATTACTACAATGTCTAGACTTGCGGTATGACCGCTCACGTTAATGAACGCGTTCGTGTTGCACATGCGGCACCTCCCACTTACCTGGGTGCCACGTCAACACCTGACAAAAGAGCAGATCGCGATGAAGAAGTTCGCTCCGATACCAAATTGTAACGAACCCGGTCTGACAGATACATTGAAGTCGTCCAATACCTGTAGAGTCAGTATATGCATCAAAGTCTCCAATTCGTGAAAAAATATATCAAACAATATCTCATTATCATCAATAGAAGAGAGGGGAGGGGGAACAGACAAAGCAGAAGATGAAGAATCAAACAATAATCCCTGCTGACCCTCTCCTTCTCCGGGCTTCTTCCCTCTTCACATCAACAATGATAATAAGTATATTCTTGATCACACACGGAAGTGCCACATGGCACTCAATTGCAGATTCCAGTATTGACTTCAAACCCAGGTGAGTACCTGTTCTCCCTCAACCACGGATCCCGATTTTCCTCCTCCTCGCAACCAATCACTTCATGTAGACAGTGTGGACAATGTAGCAGCGCTACATCAGTATGCCATGTAGACCATAGGCAGCGCCACACCAGAGGCAGCGCCACATCAGCATGCCACGTAGACTAGAGGCAGCGCCACATCAGCATGCCACGTAGACCAAAGGCAGCCCACATATACCAGAGGCAGTGCCACATCAGCATGGCATGACGCACTGAGGAAGTGCCGGCATGCTGCCTCCACCTCGTGCCGTCGTCCGCAATGCTTGTGCACAGCCAGCATGAAGCGAGCGTCGGGTTCAAAGTCGAGCCAGCGTCAAAGCAGCATAGCAAGACTGGAATGCCTTGACTCTCTCGAGGCCAGCCTTAAGTAGCAATAAGCGAGGCTGTCTGGCCTCGGTGCTTTTCCCTTCAATCGTCCAGATTGACTCACAGCTGAAGGCCCGGATTGTACAGTTACAAACTTCTCCCTTGGACCTGATGCTGTCTGGGTACCTGCATACAAACAAGTGTGTGTGCTTGACCTGCGGCCTGGGCTAGGTACCCTTGGACTTTGACTGTTGGGTGGACCGACAGTTGACTAAAGTCAACTGTCACACGCCCAGGCCCTGAATTTGTGAAGGGCCTTTTCTGCCCTTGTTCGGCCTGGGCTGAGGGTGGTCAAGTAGGCCCTCTGATGACCCTCAGTTCCACGAGACATATGGCATGGGTTATTGCACAAACCCCAATTTCAGCGATTTTTCACGCTCAGAAGAATTCATTAAAAAATCTGAAAATTGGAGGGTCCGTAGATTTTATCGTGATCTTTTCGGGAGAAATATTCAAAAAAAAAATAAATCATTTTAACCATGAAATAAGTGGTGGCGGCAATTTGTGGGGTTTTTCATTTTTGGGTCTCTGCCGAGTCTCCACACTATGCTACTGGTAGCCCTCATGAACATGTGTTACCGGTCCGCCGACTTTCACAATGTCGGGTAGAGTGATGGTTTAAGAGGTGGATTGAAGTCATAGATATGTATAACTTCAAGCGCGACCCTTTGAAGGGAGAGTACAACAAAGTGGCTGATGCACTATCGCGTAGGGCAGACTATCTGGACGCGCTAGTGACTGAGTTTGGGATATCTGATGATGTAACTCGATCTTTGGTGGAAGCCTATCAAGAGGACACAATCATGTCTGAGATCATTTGCAAACTTGAAGTTGAAGACAAAGCTACTTCCGATGAGTTTGTGCTGGTTGAAGGCTTGTTGTTCCTTGAGAAGGTGGGAATAAACGCTTATGTATTTCAAATAGAGTCTTTACGTTTAGGTGAATGCCACGATGCAACCGAACACTTCGGTTATAAAAAAGACAGCAACAAATTTAGTCCAAAAATTTTGGTGGCCCACAATGATGGAGGATGCAAAAAAGTATGTAGAGGCTTGCCAGGTTTGTCAACGTGACAAACCAAGGACGCAGGCACCGCTTGGGATTATTAAGCCCTTCCCTATCCCTGCTGGACCTGGTCAGAGTGTGTCCATGGACTTCATGGATACTCTTGTGACCAGCAAGAGTGGTAAGACGCACATCTTCGTGACTGTGGACAGGTTCACTAAGTATGCTAGACTCATCGCTATGCCTGAGACAGTTAGGACTGACCATGTCATCAAGCTACTCATGGACAAGTGGGTAAGTGACTTTGGTCTCCCTAAGTCTATTGTAAGCGACAGGGATGTCAGATTTCACTAGCGAACTGTGGCAAAGTACAGCCCAACAGATGGGCACCCGACTGCAAATGACATCAGGGAACTACCCTGAGTCAAATGGACAGGCCGAGCAGATGAACCGGGTAGTGCAGCACTTGCTTCGGCATTATATTAAGCCAAGTCAAGATGACTGGGATGAGAAGTTACCTCTCATTGCCAGATTGTACAACAATGCTGTGCACAGCACTACCGGTAAGACTCCCAACCGGCTGCATCTTGGCTGGAAGCCCAGATCTGCTGTTGACTTCCTGTTGCCTGAAAACCAGCCAACCGCAGCACCTGGCATCATAGAGTTCGCTATCAAGTACGAACAGATGCTGCGGCAGGCTGTCGAGCACATCACGAAAGCTCAAGATGCCATGGTTGCATCTGAGAACAGACACAGACGACTGTCTGCATATCAGGTAGGTGAACAAGTCTGGGTAAAGTCATCTGAGTTGGGATAGGAGTTGGGAATATCACGCAAACTGATGCCACAGTACTTTGGACCTTGGGAAATTCTAGACATAGTAGGAGATCAACCCGATGGTCCATATGTTATTCGCATTCCTGGTCACCTCCATACACACCCTGTTTTCCATGCATCTAAGTTGGCACCCTTCGCTGAAACTGAACGGTTTCCCTCAAGAAGATCGATGCTGCCCCCAACCATGGACGGACATGTGGACATTGACAATAGCGTCGAGCACAAGCTGATGCCTGTGTCCAAGCATCCAGGCAGGGGATGCCCTCCTAAACCGCAGATGCAGTATCGAGTGCGGTTCGAACATCATACTGATCCTAAAGAAGATCAGTGGTTCACCAGAGAATAGTTCATGAAGACTGCTCCCGAAATTATCTATGAACGAAATTTGGAAGGGAAGCAGCCTGCTGTGTAATGACTTCTCAGAGGACTATAGAAGTAAAGGAGGATGGAGTGTGAGGGCTTACCCCCCTGGCTAGGGCCTTGCAGCAGGCGCGTGCCCGCGGTGCAGGGCGCTGCGGAGGGCAGCATCCCCCATAGCTGGGCTTGGCCTGGGTATAGCCAGTGGAGGTGGTGGTGGTCTTCATGCATGAGGGTGAAGACGTGGGTGTGAAAGTCGAGTGTGTGTGAGAGAGAGAGAGACGAGGTTGATGATGTGAGGGCACGTACCTGGTCGTGGGAATGGTCTACAAGGGTCGACATCTTCATGTATTTCGGTTCTGCTGCTGATGTCAACTGGATGCATTGTCAATTCGTAGGCTGCTATTTGGCTGTGCGATAGTAGTCTGGGCGCTGAGCGCCAAGTAGGAGGAAGGACTCTGGATACATATGTTGGTGGTGGCGAGAGTATGCTCTCATTGACATTCGGATTCAGTGCTTTGGTTCTCCGTTGGTGGAATATTAGTGCATTTCTGCTTTCTGGACAGCGTTGGACTTGCGGCTTTCAATGTGATTTTGCATTCTGGATTTCTGTCATTTTCGCTATCGCTCATTTTCCTTGCAGTCCAGATACAGATGTTGGTCATTATAGCATGTCTGTGAAGGAGGAGAGGGATGGGTTTGGGGGGTTTTGAAAAAAGGGGTTATGGTGGTCACATGAAGGCTGTGGAACTGTGTGAAAGGAGCTATCAATGGGGATGGCAGTGGAGTGCTGGGGCTCATGGGCAGAAGTTTGATCCAATTGATTATGGCAGTCTTTTGCTTCAGATTGTCGTGTGTTTTCCTCGTCCCTTCTCCCTCTGCACCTCCCCTCTCCTGTGGCCTCCCACGCCCTGTCCCTGCCAAACCATTTGTTATTTTCTGGGTTAAAAATGTTGTTGCTACTGCTGCAGCTGTTTCTTTCTTGCTCACTTGATGTAAAAACGGCTGACCAGGATGGGATGATGGCATGACACTAAAGTCTGTGGTTTTCTTGTCTGCTTGATATCGTCGGACTCTCTCTGCCCTTTCCACCTGCTGCTCCAGGTGGTTGGCTGAACACTATCTGGCGAAAGGTGAAGCTTCTGTGCCCGGCCAACGAGATCCCGCCAGTTGTGGAGGTTGACTTGAGTCAGCTGGAAATAGGCGATAGGGTTTTGCTGAAGGATGTGAAATTGAGTCCAAATGTGAGAATTTTGGTCAGAGATCTCACTCTCCCCGTTTGCAAACTCATGGGAAAGAAGGATCCAACTACAGACTCCGAGGAAGCGGCTTAACAATTGATGATAAATGTAGAGGAGCAGTGCACTTATTTTTGCTGATTTCTGTTTTCGTTTTCTTGGCGCTAAGATCATGAATCTTTGAGGGTTTGTGTTTCAACTCAAGTCGACTGTCTCTGTTCTCTATGTCATGGGCATTGTGATGTTCCTAAACACCACGCCAAAGAGAAAGCGTGACTGCGGTCAAAGGTTTCATCAGGCTATTGGCAGTCTCATTTGTAGATGTGTGTGTGTGTGTGTGTGTGTGTGTGTGTGTGTGTGTGTGTGTGTGAGAGAGAGAGAGAGAGAGAGAGAGAGAGAGAGAGAGATTCCTTGAGCAGCACAAAACAAAAACAAAGTCCTCTGGCTGTTTCTTCTGATCTTCATTGGTATGTCAGGGGAGAAAAAAAGAAAGAAGAGAACTAAGTTCCCTCTTGTCCGGCATCCCGTTTGTTATGTCAGCAGGGAGGGATGGTTTGGATGAAATCCATCCCTTTTTTTTCTGTTGCACTGGGCTACTGTATGGATGGTAATCCCAGCAAAAGCTTTCTGACTGTGCTCTTGGCTTTCCAAAGAATTTCAAGGAATCTGTGGGAAGCAACTTGACTAGAATTCCGTGTCACCAGAGGCTGGCAGTCTTTCTGGCCTGGTCTAGAATAATATCTCAAGAATCCTATCATTTGCAACGTGTAAGCATGACTACTTTGAGATTATGGCACCGTTCTCCTGGGTGGAAATGTTACTGCAACTTGTAAACATGACTACTTCGAAATTATGGCACCGTTCTCCTGGGGTGGAAAATCTTACTGCAGGGGTGGGTAAGTGCTCTTGTGAATGAGAAATTTAAGAAAGGGGAAAAAACAGGTCGGACAGTGCTCTTCCAAATTGCAGATAAAATCCTAGCCGGCTGGAATGGCTTATATGGGTGAGAAAAGGGGTGTGTTTGATGTCACGTATTTGTGGGACGACTGCGAGGCTCAAGGCCTAGGTAAGCCCTACTGGGCCCCCGTTTCAGCAAGTACGGCCGCCCTAAGTGAAGGTGGGCCTGACAAGTGACGAGAGGCCTATTTTTGGGTTTTGACGCAGCTGGGAAATTCAGGCAGTTGCGCAGCACCAGTTGGCTGAGTGAGTCCAGGCCCTGCCTGCCTTTTCCCAAATGCATCGAGGCAGGCCCTGGGCCAGACACGGCGCATGAGGCAAACACAGTTGGACACGGGTAACCAACCCAGGCCCTGTGGAAGATTCCCTGGGACAGGGGCTCAGCCACTTGTGCCCTACCGGAAGCTTCCGTGGGGAGGCCCAGGCCAGCCTGGCAGCCCCATTCCATAAAGGAAAGGGCCTGGCTGCGGGCTGGACATTCGGGCACATGCTGCATGCTGCGCTATTTGCTCGCATGTGCCTACTCGCTCAGGGGCGAGCAGGGAGGATGCAGGCAGCCATAGCCGAGCTGGCCTGCGCATAGCTGGATGGGGCGCATGGTGGTCCTTGGGTGCATGTGGCATCTGTGTGGGGGATCGAGGTTGTGAGTGAAGCGTGAGACATACCTGGTGAGGCGAACAGCATTGGCCGAGATCCGCTCGTACTTCGGGAAGCTGTTGACATCACCAGCGGCATTGTGGATAGGCTAGATAGGATCTGCCATTCGTCTTATTTGGTGGAACTCGAGTTGCAATTCTGTTTTTGGTTCGAGGTCGAGACTATCTGGTTTCATGTGTATGATGCTGCTTGGTTTTTGGAATTCGCAATCGCTTATTTTCCTTGCATTTTGGTGTCAGAGCTGTGGTACGTTGCTCTAATCCAGTGCTTGTCTTCTGTTTATACGGTGCATGCACATGGGTAGCTGGGTGAGCGACCATGGGTAGTAAGCAGTGAGGAGGGTGAAGGCAAGCAGGCGACCCAGGCGGAGAGGGGTATTGCCAGGAAGGCTGAGAGGTGATATTGGGTGTTTCGCAGTGTGATGAGAACTATCTGATGTGCGATCGATGCTAAGCTGGAACAGGGGTGTAATGCTGGTTGTGCCGAAGCAAGGATTGGTTATCACAATCGACGTCAGGTCAACTGGTGAGAATATCTGTGGTTGGGGGTGGCTATTTTTAGGTACGTTGCTCTTAACCTTATCTACCCTCTTCGACACTTCTTACCGTGAGGATGTGTGTTCTGTCTTGAGAGTCCTCTCATGTGAGGAGTCGAGTGCGCTCAACCTTGAGAATCTGCATTGTTCACGTGGAGCATCTGGAAGGAGAGGGCGTTGCCATCTGAAGGGCCCCGGTCGAAGCACTGGGTCACGATCACCATGCCAACCCACCGGGAGTAGATCACGCATGCTTTGCTGCTTTGTCCTTTGTCTGTCGGCTGCGCTATGGATAGGTCATGAGGGGCAGGCCAGCCCTACGGGACCTGAGGGGCCGTCCTTAAACTGCCTCTTGATCAGCCAATCGGTCGGTGTAAGGCTCGCTGCACGCGAGGGTGAACATGGCCGAGAGCATTGACTTGGGGCACAGGGGTTGGCCGTGTGCACACCTTTAGACACACACACTATCTGGATGCCTCAGGAAAGCTGACGTCAAGTGACATCAAGGAGAATTGAGGGAGGGGTAGGTTTCAGGTGATCAGTTCGGGAAAATTCCACTCTGCAAACAGCCATACGAATGATTCTATTTTTATTTTTATTAGTTAGGTGTACAACCACTAACACATCTGACAGACAACATAGGTAGAACTTTCTGATTTTGCTTATTTGTTTTCTGTTCGCGGACTAGTCGAGTAAAATAGTTTCGTTTGTAGGAATCTGGACTTACCTGTTGGACCCAATTGTGTATTCTCTTACAATGTCACGGGTTAATTAATTTTATTATTTTAAATCGGTCTGAGCACTACGCTGCGGTAGGCAACCGAGTGTGTTCTAGTGCAGACACTGCACAGTGCTGTAGCATATGAGCGACAGGGAGGACCCTGAACCGGACGATCGGATCCTGTGTTCGTCAAGCTGTAGACTCCCGTTGGTCCACGTAGCTTTAGGAGCTGAGGGAGACCACCTCCTGTTCAGACAGGCTAGGGAAAGGCAGTGTCAGCAGAGGGGGGACAGGGACGCAGAGGCTGGCAGGGCTTTAGCAAGAAAGGCAGCTGCTTTACCGGCCGTAATGGCCACTTCTGCACAACAGGGCTCTCAAGTGAGTAATTCCGGGACGCAACAGAGTTCCCAGGCTAGTAGTTCAGGGGTTGTGGGTGCAGCGATGGCACATACCCACATACCCAGAGTCAGTCCGTTGGTGTGATGGCTAGCCAGCAATTAGTGTTGACTCCCAAGGAGGTCGTCATTCAACGAGCAAACGCACGCAGCACATCTACAACAGGCACTAGATGAGATACAGGCAAAGAAGGAGAGAATGATTAGACGTCGAGCGAGGATGCAGCGGAGAGAAGCGGACATCCGGGAGTTAGAGGAAACGGACCTGACAAACATGGATGACTATGTAAGGAACGTTGGGACAGTCCTGCTGGATGTAGTGGAGGTGCAGGACTACCATACGTCCCTCTTGCAAGACATTCAGAGGAGCCTGGCCGTTCTGGTCGAGCGAGTTCAGGTTACACCATCACCATTTGGGCCAGGTGCCTGGCCCTTGGTACAGCCTCCTCCTTTTGTCCCACCGGTAATCGGGGTAGTCCCATCTATGCTTCCTCCGGTATCGGTACAGGCCGGTTCCCACCTTGGTATGCCTTTGACAGGCGGGTTCTCAACAAGTCCTAGTGTACAGGTTCCTGTTCAGATGGTGTTGTCCCAACCTCCTTTGCCGACTGCCGTATCAGGACAGCCTGCTGTTTCGCAGCAAGCGCAGCAGCAGGTGCAGCAACCTGGACCCCACGTTCCACAATTTGGAGTTGCGCAGGCACCGGGACAGGGACAGTGTGTTCCAAAGACTGCCATCGCATCACCAAAGCCCTTCTCACGAGATAAGAAGGGTGAGGACCTCAACAACTGGTTGAGGTTGGTGCCAATCTATGTGAAGTGCAAGTTAACCTTGCCTCACGAGGAAGTGTTTGTGGTTGCCTCCTATCAGGAGGGGAATGCAGCAAGGTGGTTAAGTGGGTACGTGAAATTACAGGGGTATGGTAGTGACTTCCACGCTTGGGCAGTCACCCAAAAATTGGATTATTTCGTCAAGCTGGTGGAAGAAAGGTGGCATGATCTGCAGGAGGCTCAAAAGACCGCCGACGCGATATTGACCCCGAGCTCAAGAAAGTTTAGGTCGGTAAAGGATCCCACGGACGCGGTTGAGCGTCTGATCTGTGTTCCTGGAGTGCGCTATGACCCCAGCTCTTACTTACCACTTCCCTGAGGTGTCTCCTCATAGGGCTCAGGAATCAGTTGGCAGGGGAGGCTATGATCACGGTTCACAAGTTCCCCTCGTTCAGCAAGAAGGCCCTTGATCTAGAGGCAAAGATCGGGCATGGGCACCAACCCACTACAGTAGTAGGAAGAAGTCACTGCCTCCTATAACTGGAAGGCTAAGAGGCACATTATGTTCGTCGATAATGATGGTTCTACCATAGAGTTAGACGACGACTTCAATTGGGAGTAGGATCAGAGTTGGGTAGCGCATAAGCTTCAGGGGGTGGAGAAGTCGCTACCTCGGTTGAAAAAGGTAAGGCGACCGGTAGACGCGGTGGAGGTTCCCAGTCAAGGAGTCAAGTAGACCCCAATGCTCCATGGGAGAAAGCGGGGTTTACCGAGGACATGTGGAGAGATCGTTACTCCCGTGCGGCTTGTACTCGCTGTGGCCAATATGGTCATAACCAGTCCAAGTGCCGGAATAGGAAAGTGATTGAAAAGTTCCCGCCTACAATGGGGCAGGCGCCGGTCTCCTCTGCTTCCCAGGGTAGCAACATGGCCAGCAGTTCTGGCACTGCTTCGGGAAACACGTCGGGCTAATAGGAATTATAGTTGTTGTTGCTAGGGTCGAGGTGGTGGACACACCCTCACCATTTTGAGAGATGGCCCAAGCTATTGACTATGTCGTCGTCCCGCGCACACATTTGGACCAATCGATCCTATGTTGGATGAATGTGTTTGAGTCCTTAGAGGAGCTAGTGGAGGAGTGGTCTAGATCGGGCCCACTAGCTTCTTGGACGACCATGGCTAAAGCTCCTAAGGGTGAGTTGTTCGTCGGTGAGGTAGATATAGGCGGTCGTAAGGCTGGGGCCTTCTCCGATACTTGTTCGATGAGGAACTTTATCAGTCGCGCTTGTGTTGAACGGCTGCGCTTATAGGGGCAAGTGCAACGCCTAAGTCGACCTGTGGAGTCAACCTATAATAACAAACAACGCATGGTAGTCAATGACTACCTAAAAGATATTTTGTGTCGTTTCCCGTACGCGGGAGGGAAACTGAGACATAGAGTCTCATTCCTAGTCAGCAATGATCTCATTCCTAGTCAGCGATGATCTCCCTTCGGTTGCACAACCCCAGTTTGACTGGGATCGAAAAGTGGTCAAACACGCTTTACCCGGACGGGGGACCGCCAGATTACGTAAGTATAAAGCTAGTAGTTTGATTGAGTCCTATGTGTGTGGCCACATTCTATAATTATTATAAGCAAAATCCGGTGGAGGGTATGTACTTAGTTTATGTCTCAGCGGAGGGTGAGCCGGTGAAAATGCCTCCAGAGATAGAGGGAGTTGTCGCTAGGGACCCTGATATATTTGAAGAGCCAAAAAGGGTTGTTGAGAGGGAGGTCGTCCACACGATAGAGATTATCCCAGGGTCTAATATTTCGAAGGGTAGGATCTATCGGATGTCTCCAGCGGAGCTTGATGAGCTTTGTCGGCAACTCAAGGAACTCGTAGAAAAGGTTGGATCCGGCCGAGCGCCTCCCCTTACGGGTCTCGTGTCCTATTCGTACCAAAGAAGGGGGGAACATTGAGGATGTGCATTGACTATAGGGGCCTCAATGCCATCACTGTGAAGAACGTAGAGCCCCTACCATACATCGATGACTTGTTTGACCGACTGCAAGGCTGCAGGTACTTTAGTAAGATAGATCTGAAGTTCGAGTACCATCAGATTGCAATCCGGCGTGAGGATCAACACAAAACCGCTTTTCAGACCAGGTACGATCTGTACGAGTTTGTGGTGATGCCTTTCGGCCTTTGCAATGCTCTCGGCACCTTTCAGCACGCGATGAACCGGATCTTTCATGACTACTTAGATAAGTTCGTCATCGTGTACCTCGATGACATACTTATTTTTAATAGGATTGTCGAGGAGCATGTAACCCATTTGGATAAAATACTTAGTCTCCTTCCGCAACACCAGTCCAGGATTGACCGGGAGAAGTGTGAGTTTGGCCGCCGGATCTTGTATCTGGGTCATGAGATTTCCACGGAGGGATTGAAGCCCGATGACGCGAAGGTGGCAAGCATTCGTGTCTAGCCGAGTCCTCAGTCTGTGACTGAGGTGAGATCCTTCTTGGGGATGATCGGATACTATCGCAATTTTGTGAAGAACTACAGCATAGTGTCCGCACCCTTGTCGGATCTCACACGCCTTGACACCCCCTTGGAGTGGACAGACAGGTGTGAGGCTGCTTTAAGACATTTGAAGCATTGTCTTACACACCACGAGGTCTTGAAATGCTCTTATCCTGACAAGCCATTCGTTGTAACCACAGATGCCAGCCAATATGGCATCGGTGTCGTGCTTGCGCAATACGAGGGGAAGAACTTGAGGCCCATAGAGTACATGTCCAAGAAGATGCCCTCTCAGGAGTTTGCTAAGTCCACTTATGAGAAGGAACTCTACGCGATATATAAAGCACTGACCCATTGGAGGCACTATCACCTTGGGTGATTCTTCTACGTTAGGATTGATCATCAGACCCTGAGGTGGATGAGGACACATTCTGTACTCTCCGATGCTTTGAAACGTTGGGTCGAAGTCATAGAACAGTATGACTTCGAACCTCAGTACATCAAAGGGGAGTACAATAAGGTTGTTGATGCGCTATCGCGTAGGCCAGATTTCCTTGGTGCGCTAATCACCGAGTTTGGGCTTGCGGACAATGTTACTCAGTCCTTGGTGGAAGCCCTTCGCGAGGATCCATTCATGGTAGAGATCATACGCAGACTCGAGGCGAAGGACAAGGTGACTTCAAACGAGTTTGTGTTGGTCGATGGTCTAATGTTCCTCAAGAAGGTCGGGAATAAACGTCTTTGTGTGCCAAATAGAGAGTCTTTGCGGAGTTTAAGCGAGTGGCATGATGCCACTGGACATTTTGGCTATAAGAAGAGTGGAGCAAATTTGTTGCAGCAGTTCTGGTGGCCCACGATGATGAAAGACGCCAAGCTGGCTATACGTGGAAACTTGTCATGTCTGTCAGAGAGACAAGCCACGCACACAGACCCCTCTTGGGCTTCTCATGCCCGTTCCGATTCCGAAAAAGCCTGGTGAGAGCCTCCATGGATTTGATGGATACGCTGGTCACCAGCAACTTCAGCAAGAGTGGTATGAGATATGTCTTTGTTATTGTGGCTAGGTTCAGTAAGTATGCTAGGTTAGTTGCCATGCCGGAAACAGCGAAGACCGAGTACATAATCAGACTGTTCAAGAGAACTTTGGCTTGCCAAAGTCCATTGTTAGTGATTGGGATGTACGATTCACTAGTGAGCTATGGAAGGCTGCAGGTGCTGAACGAGGGGCTCAGCTGCAGATGACCTCCGGGAACCACCCAAAGGCAAATGGACAAGCGGATCAGCTGAACCGCGCTGTACAACACCTGCTAATGCACTACATCAAGACTAATCAGGTGGACTGGGAGGAGAAACTTGCTCTCATCGCTAGCGTGTACAACAACGTTATGCACAGCGCGACTGGGGTGAGCCCCACCAGTCTGCTCCTAACTTTGAAGCCTCGATTGCCTCTAGATTTCTTACTACCTGAGAACCAGTCCACTGTTGCGCCGGTTACCTTGGAATTTGCCTACAGATATGAAAGTCTTATGCAACAAGCAGTGGACAACATGCACAACGCGCAGGCGGCAATGATAGAGTCAGAAAAACAAACACCACTGCCCTTCTATGTTCCAGGTTGGGGATAGAGTTTGGGTCAAGGCATCCGAACTTGGGCAAGAGCACGGGATTTCCCGAAAGCTCATGCCACATGACTTCGGACCATGGGAGGTTTTAGATGTGGTCGGAGACGACCCCGATGGGCCTTCCTATGTGGTGCAAATCCCTGGTGACCTTCGCACCTATCCTGTCTTTCACGCCTCCAAATCGCACCTTTCAAGGACACAGATGAGTTTCCCTCTCGTCGCTCAAAGCTGCCACCAACCATGGATGGAGAGATCGACATCGACGACATCGTGGACCACAAAGAATGTCGATTCCAAGACCAACTGGCAGGGGCTGTCCTCCAAAGCCGAAGCTGGAATATCGCGTTCGGTTCAGACATCACAGTGATCCAAAGGAGGACCGATGGTTTACAAGGGAGGAATTAATGCAGACCGCTCCACAAGTTGACGCTCACTATGAGAGGTCGCTGCAGAACGGAAAGCGCCAGATTAAGTGAACTTCTCAGAGGACTGTTGAAGTATGGAGGAGGGAATGCGAGGCTCAAAGCCTCGGTAAGCCCTACTGGGGCCTGCTTCAGCAAGTACGGCCGCCCTAAGTGAAGGTGGGCCTGACAAGTGACAAGAGGCCTATTTTTGGGTTTTCACGCAGCTGGGAAATTCAGGCAGTTGCGTGAGCGCCAGTTGGTTGAGTGAGTCCAGGCCATGCCTGCCTTTTTCCAAATGTATCGAGGCAGGCCCTGGGCCAGACACAGGGCATGAGCCAAACACGAGCCGCTGGCAATCGGGCACGGGAAACCACCCCAGGCCCTGTGGAAGATTCCTTGGGACAGGGGCTCAACCACTTGGGGCCTACCGGAAGCTTCCGTGGGGAGGCCCAGGCCAGCCAGGCAGCCCACGACTGGCAGCCTTATTCCATAGAGGAAAGGGCCTGGCTGCAGGCTGGGCATTCGGGCACGTGCTGCATGCTGCACCAGCACTGCTGCGCTGTTTGCTCGCAAGTGCCTACGCGCTCACAGTCGAGCAGGGAGGATGCAGGCAGCCATAGCCGAGCTGGCCTGCGCATAGTTGGATGGGGTGCATGGCTGTCCCTGGGTGCATGTGGCATCTGTGGATCGAGGTTGTGAGTGAAGCGTGAGACATACCTGGTGCTTGAGGCGAACGGCTATGGCCGAGATCTGCTCGTACTTCGGGAAGCTGTTGACATCACCAGCGGCATCGTAGATAGGCTAGATAGGATCTTCCATTCGTTTTTGGGCGCTGAGCGCCAGATAGGGATTCGACATTGGTTCATTGTTGATAATGATGAGACTATTCCAACGTTGTCACTTGTGAGCTTTTGTTGTGCTCTTATTTGGTGGAACTCGAGTTGCAATTCTGCTCTTGGTTCGAGGTCAAGACTATCTGGTTTCATGTGTTTGATATTGCTTGGTTTTTGGAATTCATTGTCGCTCGCTTTTCTTGCATTTTGGTATCGGAGTTGTGGAATGTTGCGCTAATCTGGCGCTTGTCTTCTGCTTATACGGTGCATGCACGCGGGTAGCTGGGTGAGCGACCGTGGGTAGTGTGTAGTGAGGAGGGCGAAGGCAAGCAGGCGACCCAAGCGGAGAGGGGTATTTCCAGGAAGGCTGAGAGGTGATATTGGGTGTTGCGCAGTGTGATGAGAACTATTTGATGTGTGATTGATGCTGAGGTGGAAAGGGGGTGTAATGCTGGTTGTGCCGAAGGAATGATTGGTCATCATAAGCGGCGTCAGGTCATCTGGTGAGAATATTTGTGGTTGGGGGTGGCTATTTTTAGGTTCGTTGCACTTAACCTTATCTACCCTCTTCGACACATCTTACCGTGAGGACGTGTGTTCTGTCTGGAGAGTCCTCTCATGTGAGGAGTCGAGTGCGCTCATCCTTGGGAGTCTACATTGTTCACATGGAGCATCTGGAAGGAGAGGGCCTTGCCATCTGAAGGGCCCTGGTCGAAGCACTGGGTCACGATCACCATGCCAACCCACCGGGAGTAGAGCACGCATGCTTTGCTGTTTTGTCCTTTGCCTGTCAGCTGCGCTATAGTTAGGTCACGAGGGGCAGGCCAGCCCGACGGGGAAGACGAGAACCGAACGTCCATAAATAAATACTGGCAGGGTACCTTCCATTGGCCATGATCGTCGTCCTGTTTGCAACGTTAAAGAATTCCTTCGGACCTCGGGGGCCGTCCTTAAACTGCCTCTTGATCAGCCAATCAGTCGGTGTAAGGCTCACTTCACGCTAGGGTGAACATGGTTCAGGGCTGGCCAGCTCAGCATTGGCTTGGGGCACATCGGTCGGTCGTGTGCACACCTTTAGACACTCGCGCTATCTGGATGCCTCAGGAACGCTGACGTCAAGTGACATCAAGGAGAACTGAGGGAGGGGTAGGTTTAAAGTGATCAATTCGGGAAAAAATCCACTCTGCAAACAGCCATACAAATGATTCTATTTTTATTTTTATTAGTTAGATGTAGAATCATTAACTGATCTGACAGACATCATAGGTAGAACTTTCTGATTCTGCTTATTTGCTTTCTAGAATCATTAACTGATCTGACAGACATCATAGGTAGAACTTTCTGATTCTGCTTATTTGCTTTCTGTTCGTGGACTAGTCGGGTAAAATAGTTTCGTTTGTAGGAATCTGGACTTACCTGTTGGACCTGGACTTACCTTTTGGACCTGGACTTACTTGTTGGACCCAATTGTGTATTCTCTTACAACGTCACCGGTTAATTAATTTTATTATTTTAAATCAGTTTGAGCGCTACGCTGCGGTAGGCAACGGAGTGTGTCCTAGTGCAGACACTGCACACTGCTATAGCATATAAGCAACATGGAGGGATTTGAACCGGATGATCGGATCCTGCGTTCGTCAAGCCGTAGACTCTCGTTGGTCGACGTAGCCTTAGGAGCCGAGGGAGACCACCTCCTATTCAGACAGGCTAGGGAAAGGCAGCGTCAGCAGAGGAGGACGCGGAGGCAAGCAGGGCTTTCGCAAGAGAGGCAGCTGCTTCAGCGGCCGTAATGGCCACTTCTGCACAACAGGGCTCTCAAGTGAGTAGTTCCGGGACGCCGCAGAGTTCCCAGGCTAGTAGTTCAGGGGCTGTAGGTGCAACAATGGCACATACCCAAAGTCAGTCCGCTGGTGTGATGGCTAGCTAGCAACTAGTCTTGAGTCCCGAGGAGGTCACCATTCAGCGAGCAAACGCTCGCGAAGCACAGCCACAACAGGCACTAGATGAGATACAAGCAAAGAAGGAGAGAATGATTAGACATAGAGCGAGGATGCAGCGGAGAGAAGCGGGCATCCGGGAGTTAGAGGAAACGGACCTGACAAACATGGATGACGACGTAAGGACCGTTAGGACAGTCCTGCTAGATGTAGTGGAGATGCAGGAATACCATACGTCACTCTTGCAAGACATTCAGAGGAGCCTGGTTGTGGTGGTCGGGTGAGTTCAAGTTACACCATCACCATATGGGCCAGGTGCCTGGCCCGTGGTACAGCCTCCTCCTTTTGTCCCACCGGTAATCGGGGTAGTCCCATCTACGCTTCCTCCGGTATCGGTACATGCCGCTTCCCACCTTGGTATGCCTTGACAGGCGGGTTCTCAACAGGTCCTAGTGTACAGGTTACTGTTGAGATAGTGTCTCCCAACCTCTGTTGCCGACTGTCGTATCAGGACAGCTTGCTGTTTTGCAGCCAGCGCAGTAGCAGGTGCAACAACCTGCACCCCAGGTTCCACAGTTTGGAGTTGCGCAGGCACCGGGACAGGGACAGTGGGTTCCAAAGACTGCCATCGCATCATCGAAACCCTTCTCAGGAGATAAGAAGGGTGAGGACCTCAACACCTGGTTGAGGTCGGTGCCAGTCTATGTGAAGTTCAAGTTAACCCTGCCTCACGAGGAAGTGCTTGTGGTTGCCTCCTATCTGGAGGAGAATGGAGCAAGGTGGTTAAGTGGGCACGTGCAATTACAGGGGTACGGTCATGATTTCCGCGCTTGGGCAGTCACCCAGAAATTGGATGATTTCCTCAAGCTGGTGGAAGAAAGGTGGCATGATCTGCAGGAGGCTCAAAAGGCCACCGACGCGATATTGACCTTGAGCTAAAGAAAGTTCAGGTCGGTAAAGGATGCCATAGACGTGGTTGAGCGTCTGATCTGTGCTTGGAGTGTGCTAGGACCCCAGGTCTTACTTACCACTTACCTGAGGTGTCTCCCCATAGGGCTCAGGAATCAGTTGGCAGGTGAAGCTATGATCACGGTTCACAACTTCCCCTCGTTCAGCAAGAAGGCCCTTGATCAAGAGGCAAAGATCGGCATGGGCACCAACCCACTACGGATGGTAGGAAGAAGACACTGCCTCCTAACTGGAAGGCTAAGGGGCACATTATGTTTGTCGATAACAATGGTTCTACCATAGAGTTAGACAACGACTTCCAGTTGGGAGTAGGATCAGAGTCGGGTAGCGCAAAAGCTTCAGGGGGTGGAGCAGTCGCTGCCTCAGTTCAAAAAGGTAAGGTGACCGGTAGACACCGTGGAGGTTCCCGGTCAAGGACTCAAGTAGACCCTAATGCTCCTCCATGGGAAAAAGCGGGGCTTACCGAGGACGTGTGGAGAGATCGTCACTCCTGTGCGGCTTATATTTGTTGTGGCCAGTATGGTCATAACCAGTCCAAGTGTCGGATTAGGAAAGTGACAGAAAGGATCCCGCCGACAATGGGGCAGGCGCCGGTCTCCTCCGCATCTGTACGAGTTTGTGGTGATGCCTTTCGGCCTTTGCAATGCTCCTGGCACCTTTCAGCACGCGCTGAACCGGATCTTTCATGAGTACTTAGATAAGTTTGTCATCATGTACCTTGATGACATACTTATTTTTAGGACTGTTGAGGAGCATGTAGCCCATTTGGATAAAGTACTTGGTCTCCTTCGACAACATCAGTTAAGATTAACCGGGAGAAGTGTGAGTTTGACCGCACCTGGATCTTGTATCTAGGTCATGAGATTTTCACGGAGGGATTGAAGCCCGATGACGCAAAGGTGGCCAACATTCGTGACTGGCCGTGCCCTCAGTCTGTGACTAAGGTGAGACCCTTCTTGGGGATGATCGGATACTTTCTCAATTTTATGAAGAACTTGCCGGATCTCACATGCTTGGAGCGGACAGACAGGTGTGAGGCTGCTTTCAGACATCTGAAGCATTCTCTTACACACCACGAAGTCTTGAAACTCTCTTCCTGACAAGCCATTCGTTGTAACCACGGATGCCAGCCAATATGGCATTGGTGTTGTGCGTGCTCAATAGGAGGGGAAGAAGTTGAGGCCCTTAGAGTACATGTCCAAAAAGATGCCCTCTCATAAGTTTGCTAAGTCCACATATGAGAAGACACTCTACGCGATATATGAAGTGCTGACCCATTGGAGGCACTACCTCCTTGGGAGATTCTTCTACGTCAGGACTGATCATCGGACCATGAGGTGGATGGGGACACAACCTGTACTCTCCGGTGCTTTGAAACGCTGGATCGAAGTCATAGAACAGTATGACGTCGAACCTCAGTACATCAAAGGGGAGTACAACAAGGTTGCTGATGCGCTATCGCGTAGGCCAGATTTCCTTGGTGCGCTAATCACCGAGTTCGGGCTTGCGGACAATGTTACTCAGTCCTTGGTGGAAGCCTATCGCGAGGATCCGTTCATGGCAGAGGTCATATGCAGACTCGAGGCGAAGGACAAGGTGACTTCAGACGAGTTTGTGTTGGTCGATGGTCTGCTGTTCCTCAAGAAGGCCAGGAATAAACATGTGTGTGTGCCAAATAGAGAGCCTTTGCGTAGTTTATTTTTAAGCGAGTGTCATGATGCCACTGGACATTTTGGCTTTAAGAAGACTGCAGCAAATTTGTTGCAGAAGTTCTGGTGGCCCACGATGATGAAAGACGCCAAGCTGTACGTGGAAACTTGTCAGGTCTGTCAGAGAGACGAGCCACGCACACAGGCCCCTCTTGGGCTTCTCAAGCCCCTTCCGATTCCAGAAAGGCCTGGTGAGAGCCTCCATGGATTTGATGGATACGCTGGTCACCAGCAAGAGTGGTATGAGATATGTCTTTGTTATTGTGGATAAGTTCAGTAAGTATGCTAGGTTAGTTGCCATGCCGGAAACAGCGAAGACCGAGTACATAATCAGACTGTTCAAAGAGAACTGGGTCAGAGAATATGGCCTGCCAAAGTCCATTATCAGTGACCGGGATGTACGATTCGCCAGTGAGCTGTGGCAGGCTACAGCTGCTGAACAAGGGACTCAGCTGCAGATGACCTCCAGGAACCACCCAGAGGCAAATGGACAAGCGGATCAGCTGAACCGCGGTGTACAACACCTGCTAAGGCACTACATCAAGCCTAATCAGGTGGACTGGGATGAGAAGCTTGCTCTCATCGCCAGCCTGTACAACAACGTTGTGCACAGCGCGACTGGGGTGAGCCCCAACAGTCTGCCCCTAACTTTCAAGCCTGAACTGCCTCTAGATTTCTTATTACCTGAGAACCAGTCCACTGCTGCGCCGGGTACCTTGGAATTTGCCTACAGATATGAAAGTCTTATGCAACAAGCAGTGGACAGCATGTGCAAAGCACAGGTGGTAATGATAGAATCAGAAAACAAACACCGCTGCCCTTCTATGTTCCAGGTTGGGGATAGAGTCTGGGTCAAGGCACCCGAACTTGGGCAAGAGCACGGGATTTCCCGAAAGCTCATGCCACAGTACTTCGGACCATGGGAGGTTTTAGATGTGGTCGGAGACTATCCCGATGGGCCTTCCTATGTGGTGCAAATCCCTGGTCACCTTCGCACATACCGTCTTTCACGCCTCCAAACTCGCACCTTTCCAGGAAACTGATCAGTTTCCCTCTTGTCGCTTAATGCTGCCCCCAACCATGGATGGAGAGATCGACATCGACGACATCGTGGACCACAGAAAATGCCGGTTCCAAGACCAGCAGGCAGGGGCCGTCCTCCAAAGCCGAAGCTGCAATATCACGTTCAGTTCAGACATCACATTGATCCAAAGGAGGAACGATGGTTTACAAGGGAGGAACTGATGCAGACCGCTCCACAGGTTGTCGCTCACTATGAGAAGTCGCTGCAGAACGGAAAGCGCCACATTGAGTGAACTTCTCATAGAACTGTCGAAGTATGGAGGAGGGAATGCGAGGCTCAAGGCCTCGGTAAGCCCTACTGGGCCCTGTTTCAGCAAGTACGGCCGCCCTAACGGAAGGCGGGCCTGACAAGTGACGAGAGGCCTATTTTTGGGTTTTGATGCAGCTGGGCAATTCAGGCAGTTGTGCAGCGCCAGTTGGTTGAGTGAGTCCAGGCCCTGCCTGCCTTTTTCCAAATGTATCGAGTCAGGCCCTGGGCCAGACACGGGGCATGAGCCGAATACAGGCCGCTGGCAGTCGGACACGGGTCACCCCAGGCCCTGTGGAAGATTCCCTGGGAGAGGGGCTCAGCCACTTGGGGCCTACCGGAAGGTTCTGTGGGGAGGCCCAGGCCAGCCAGGTAGCCCACGACTGCCAGCCTCATTCCATAAAGGAAAGGGCCTGGCTGCGGGCTGGACATTCGGGCACTTGCTGCATGCTGCACCAGCGCTGCTGCGCTATTTTCTCGCAAGTGCCTACGTTCTCACGGGGGAGCAGGGAGAATGCAGGCAGCCATAGCCGAGCTGGCCTGCGCATAGCTGGATGGGCCACATGGTGGTCCTTTGGTGCATGTGGCATCTGTGTGGGGGATCAAGGTTGTGAGTGAAGTGTGAGACATACGGACGACATTGGCCGAGATCTGCTCGTACTCCGGGAAGCTGTTGACATCACCAGCGGCATTGTAGGTAGGCTAGATAGGATCTTCCATTCGTAGTCTGGGCGCTGAGCACCAGATAGGGATTCGACTTTGGTTCACTGTTGATGATAAGGAGACTGTTCTAACATTGTCACTTGCGAGCTTTTGCTGTGCTCTTATTTGGTGGAACTCGAGTTGCAATTCTGCTTTTGGTTCGAGGTCGAGACTGTCTGGTTTCATGTGTATGATGCTGCTTGGTTTCGGGAATTCACTATCGCTCTGTTTCCTTGCACAATCACAACCGTTGCTGGGAGTCCCCACAGCAACTGAGTACCACTTGGAAAGAAGTTAAACACCTTGACCTAATGCTAAAGCAACTGGTGGATGCGATCCCAATCCAATGGAAAGAAGCACTTAAAAAGTGTGAGGATTGAACCCTCAAGAAGGGGCCTTGCCATGATGTACATGTTCTGGGCCAAGGCCCCAGCAAGCCTCGTGCCCGCCCTAA